AAAATGTGGTCAATGGACACATCAAAGACTTTGTGCAAAAGAATCGTGACGCCGAGATGCAGAAATTGGCTCAAGGCATGGAATCGGATCAATGGAATGCCAAGGACTTTAATGAGAAGAACACGGAATTGCTGAATACTATTTTGGGCAGCAGTACTCATGATCCTCAAGAGTGGACTGACAGCACCAAGATTTGGATACCCCATTCAGAATTGGAACATCCCAATGAAGAAGAGGCTATTGAAACGAATGGGGCCAGCAAAGAGAAGATCAGGACTGCTACAATCGACTCGGAAACCTTTATGCTGCCCAAATCAGCCATTCTGTGCTTGGACGGCATTACCAAGTTTTCTCACCTAATTAATGGAATACCATCAATGACCATTGATATTGCAACGTCTTTGATTGCGTATCTTCAGCTCTTTAACTCGAGATGCACGCAGCTTATTCTTGGCGCTGGAGCGACTCGCTCGGCTGGCCTGAAGAACATTACGACCAAACATCTGGCTCTAGCCTCTCAGGCGCTCTCTTTTACAGCTACTCTGATCCCACATGTTAGGGAATTTGTGCGACGACATGCTGGATCGGGAGCAAGTCTTTCGAATCTGATGGGTGAGTTTGACAAGATCAGACGGCTGTTGCAAGAGCATCAGGACAGCATCTACCAGAAGCTTGTTGAAATTATGAGTGGTCGAGCAGCCATTCATTCACGAACAATGAAGACGATAGACTGGGAAGCGGATGGGGGCAAGGGCGTTCATCCATACATGGAAACATTGGCGAAGGAGACAACGACTCTGCATCGGGTTTTGACTAAGCACCTGCCTGAGACATCTATCCAGATGATTATGCTTCCTGTGTTTTCCAGTTACAGAGATCAGCTTGGGTCAAGTCTTAGAGATGCAGACCCCAAGACCGAAGCTGGCCTCAAGAGGTATGTAGTACGCAGCCGACTCATGGACTATCCGCTAATGACTCTCTCAGTATGAATAATGATATTGAGTTTTTGACGACGAAACTTGGCAAGGTGGATGGATACGGGGATACGGGAGAGTATCTCCAGAAGATCATCAATTCTAAGCATGTCAAGACAGTGGAACCAGCCACTGAACCCACAGCAGAAAAGAAGGATGATGAACCTAAAGAGAACGAAGCAGCTTCTGCAGCAGAGGCTGTGGAGCTTACCGAGAAGAAGGAATAGAAGTTAAATATTACGACGACTTGAATAATCATGTCATCTTTGAGCCGATATGGCCCAGACCGAGGGTTATATATCACGCTTATGCAAAGTGCACCTTTTGTTGTTGATGCTTGACCTATATCAGTTACGAACAAGCGAACACAGCAATTTCGCCTGGATTCTACCGTCCACTACAGTCTCGGGTTTATCTACTGTACGAGATTTGACGAGTTCGATCCTCGCAGGTTCAAACTGCGGGGGACTTTCTCAGTTCCCACAGTTCAGAGTTATATACCACTGAACACTAGTCACCGCGGCTGGCGTCAGGCTCATCGTGTTTTTTCCGCGACCCGCATTCCACACCTCATAGCATTCCTGCCTCAGGCCCTGACCGGTCGTCTGTTTTGTTCAACAAGCTGAAGTTCTCTTGGAGGACTCGAGGGGCGTAAACGGGAGTAACCCGTCAAATCTTGGCGGGAACCGCCCACTTGGGTTCCGAGATCTTGCCAGGGTCCTCTGGCGTTACGACTCCCCGGCAGCGGCGTTTTTGCCATTTCAAGGTGGCACGTTTCAACAGGCTTTCAACATTCTCTGCAATGGCAGTATTTGGCTGCTGAGAGCTACATGGGTTCAAGCCCAGTTTCTTCAGTCTGGTCTACACTTGACTTTTGTCATTCTGAGCAACCAGACTCTCATCCGCTGATGAAGTATAATGTTGTCAAATTTCGCATGTTGGAGGTCCGTACCAGGGGCATGTGCTAGGACCCAAGAATTAAAAGCGCCAAGAAACCAAAGATAACTAAAGCCCGGTCCCTGTGAAATTCACATGCTCGTACATAGCCCGTCCCGAAGTTGTACAGTCAAGGGACGCGGAAACGATAATAATCCCGCGTCAAGAGGCATTATTCATAGTCAACATCTCGATGTGACATGTGCAGCTCAGTCGTACAAGGAAACTACTGTGCCAAGAAGGGGGAACTTCATGGGTGAACCTTAAATAGTTCGGATGAGAGACAACAAGGCAGTGATCTGCAATCAAGTTGATCAATCAGTTTATCGATCTGCTGTAACTCAATTGACAGGCTGTCCCAATCTCGGTATGTTTATTGTTAGAATATCTTTACGTATCCTATACGATATCCCTTGTAATTCGACCGAACAATTGTGCTTCATATCCGTAGATACAGCGCTATTACCAGGAGGTACGCAATACCTATTTTAGAGCCGGAACCTACTGTACCCAGGCCATGTTACATCCCAGCCAGGGGATCAACCTTGTACCTGCAGACACGACATGAGGCCGTGATGCGTAGTATCTGACGTGTCCTCTCCTTTGTCAGCTTCGACAAACACAACCTTGTGATTTGATTCGACAGTAGGTAATGTCGAGTAAGCAAGAGGTTGGTAAACTGTACAGTGCTTCATGTGTGTGGTGTGCCAGAAAAAGAAACGCTTAGAAGTGGCTTTGTTTCAAGCTTGCATGTGGCTTTTCCTTTGTCACCTCTTCCCACCACACGAGTCGGCTCAACAGGTAGCATGTCCTTGGTTGGAATATCACTGGTCGAATTTCTTTTGAGAGTGTTGAATGAGTCAAGTTCAAACGTCTATGTTCAGTTCTATGTGCAAGTCTAAAGTCTAAAATGGTTGGTCAAAAAGGGATGATCCCGTCTTTTTGAAAAAGGAGCTTTTGCGCCCCGTGGTATATACAAGAATTGTATGTAAAAGTTTCTCTAGACATGGTCTAGGTTCCAGTGAGTGTAAGAATCTGGGTAATGTAGAACGAGTGCCAGCCTCAACCCTCTTGCTAATACAAGAAGCATCAAGCCCGTGATGGTGCATAAGCGCGGAAAAGAGTGACGCGGCTTTGCATAGTTTGGAGAGTTCCAAGGTATGGAACTCAAGTCCTGTTTTGTCCTTGTCTTGTATGGGTAATCCAATCATCCATAAGCGCCAACTGCTCCAGCCCAAAGGTCTATAACGAAAGGCCTCGGTATTGCAACACACGAGGGGTATCTTTCAGGGTATGTAAAACGAAACTCGTGTAGTGTAGAAAGGGGTTCATGACATCGTCAATGCGGTGTTCAACGCCGCGGCATGAAAAGGTGGAAAGGGGGAGGGAAGAAGTGAAGAAAAAGGGCCGCTTGGGCAATGGCAGTAGGGGCACCTAAGCACTGTAAGGACTGGCACCATCACCGAGGGTGGTGATGAGGTCAACCTCCTCAGTGACCTTGGTCTGGACGTCGTCAGGGAGCCAGTAGGCGTTGTCGCAAGGGAAAGACTCGCAGCCAGACATGGGGCTGTTGCCAGCCTTGGGCCACATCTGCTTGACGTTGTCCTTGTCGTTGGGGTCGACAATAGCAGAGACGTCGAAGTAGGTCTTGCCGTTCCAGCCACCGAAGGTGACCTCACCGAGCATACCGGGCTTGTCCTCATGGCCCTTCTGGACAGCGTAGAAGTTACCGATGTACTTGTCAGGGAAATCGACAGTAACTTCCTTAGCACTGCTGACAGTGACGGACTCGGGTCCCTCGAAGCCAGGGTCAGGGGTGAAGATGATGGTGCGCTCCTTGTCATCGAGAGTAACAAAGGTGACGGTGGCAGCAGCAGCATAGGTAGCAGAGGCAACGAGGCCAATGAAAGCGGTAGCGAACTTCATTTTTGCGGTTTTTGGTTTGGATTGAGAATTGGATTGTCAAGGTTTCTCGATTGTCGTCAAGACAAGAGTGATAAATTTGTGCAGCGTCTGATGAAAGACTGAATCAAGACGTGGTAGTCAAAGTTACTCCGAGTGATGGAGTAGATTGGTGATGATCGAGAACTAGCTCGTGGATGTTGTTCAGGGATTGTGTAGATTCGACTTCCAAAAGGAATGAGAAGCTTTGAATCAAAGGAATGATCGTCCGAAGACAAGAAAGTGATCCGAAACGGAAGGACTGTGTTGTGTGTTGATCTGAACAAACATCTGGAGAAGGGGGAACAGTCCCGTTTTATAAACGAGATCTGAACATGATTGAACCCAAAGACCTGGCACCCCCATCCTCTCCGTCTGCCATAGTTTGTGAGTTGATTGCTAGACGAACAGGGTACGTACTCAAGATCAAATTTGTCAAGGAAAACACTCGGCGCCTCAGTGGAGACAAGACACGAGGAGGTTGTCCTAGTGTATTGACCCGTCGGACCCTACAAAAAGAGTTCCCGGTGGTGTTGTGGGGTGGTGAGGACCGATGTGATAAGAACCACTTCGTCGGCCAACACAGCATAGCACGCACAGGACAGCGAAGCACGGCAACACTGTACAGGAATCACAATCTGCAAGCTTGGTGATACTGAGGGCTCTCCTCTCTTCTCTCCCCGCATGCCCACTCGCTGTGATGAATCCTAGCCTCCCTCGCATCATCCAAGGCGGTACTGTTGTTGACTGTATGTACATACAGTATTTTGTGTACACCGCGGTGCCTGTCCTGATGGTGGTGTGGACTCATTTTGGTTGTTCCTGACTGGCCCGTGAGATGCCTGTTAACTGCGGCCCGGTTCTATACATAAGCTTTCACGAACAAAGGGAGGTAAGGCCGTTGTTTCATGGCTCTTTCAAGGTTGTCTTGTCTGCTCTTTGTAAGGGACCGTTTTGACGAACTCATTGGCCGCTTCGAAATGAAACAATTTGCCCAGCTAGAGCCTCAATTCAAACATCAGTTCGCACCCGAGACACTGGAGTACATTAAGTGCGCGACAACAAAAGACAACATCCAGAAAGACGGGAAGGTAAAACAGTACAGTATGAACTTGTAAGGCCTGTCGGGGAGCAAAGAGCCAGCTCGAGATGCGAGTTCTCCTCGGGCCATTTTCATATGGAACCAGAGCAACGCTTCCCTGTCAGTCTAGTCCTACAAACCGGCACAGAAAAGGCGCCTGTCAGCGATTCAGCGTAGCCGCTTCCAGTTCCGCGGCTGGGTACAGTACCGTACTGGCAGAATATGTATGTAGGCTGCAAGGGTGTGGCCAAGCTGGCAACTACCACAGGGGAACCCACAAATTTGCTCTAATTTTTCTTCTAGCTGCATGTCGGCCTGGTTCTGCCAGCCACTTCTGGTCCCTTATTGGTTGTACGTTTGCCACCAGTGCCTGGTACCTGACAGGCGTCCATGTGGTCGGACTGTCGAAGGCTTGTTTCGAAGACTGCTCAGCACTGAATGGGTGTGAGAATGGTAGGAGACACGCAGAGGCCCAGGAACATTGAGCAGGGATAGTTGTAACCTGAGGCTGAAGGCGCACGTCAGCAATACCGTACTTTCCTCCTCCCACTTCGCTGCCAGTGCTTTGCCGGGAATAATGTGGTCCTATGCAAGCACTTACTACGTAGTGCACAACAACCTGAGACTTGGTGAAAACTCTGAATATCCTGGCCACGGACAACGGACAACCGCTGACGACAGTGTGGCTATTTTTGCTCGGTATGTCTTTATTGATCACACGTGGATACTGAATCAATGAATTGGAGCTATTATGGTTTTCTGAATCTGAAAATTCAAAACAGAGTTTTCAGTGCGGGCACTAACAGTCGAACATTCCTGACGGCCCCGTTGAGCGATGCCGTCATTATTAAGCTCGTCTTTGCAAAAGTCAAAATTTGGTCCGGCACGCGACAGCCACTCTGTCACTTCACAGGGCCAAGACCCTGTTGAAAGGCTAACCGAATGATTCAGGCTTGATTAATTGACCACCTATACCCAGGAGAAGGACTGAGTCGGTGTATGTTTGCATCTGACACGTTGCGCTGTCATTTGAGCATAGTTGTGCAGGATTTCCAGACCGTTGACTGTGCCTGGCGATCAACTGTCCCTGAATGCCACGCTTCATGAAAGAAAAACTGAGCATCTCATCGGGAACCAGGGTAGAGCTGCCGCGTCACCAATCATCAGCTAGAGCACATGCTAAAAAGACTTACATCCCTGTAATCCACGATCAAAATGCTGGGTCATTGATTCATCACCCGTCCAAGCGAAGTAGCTTATACTGCAGAAGCGTTGGGGATATTAAGGCACGAAGATGGCAAGGTGGGGTTGGACCGCAAATAATCACAATGGCGTCCTCTTTGCTGGACATCTGTGATAGTAATGTTCTGTGATAATTAGTTACGCCTTGCAGGTTGTGTTGGCCGAGTTTCCTGCCTGAGGCGCCCACACTAAGGCATGGAACTAATGGAGTCGTATAAACGGAGTGGGAACTGATGAAAAAAACGCTTTCTTGGTGCGTTAAAAACGTCGCGGACTTTCTTCCCACTTGGTTCTTGAGGCCGTCTGTCCAACACAGTATAGAACTGTCATGAACGGTGCCAACGCCACACGGCTTTAGCACCGTTCTCGAATCGTCGGCTCAGTCCGGAGAGGCCTCTCTCCTGGACGTTCTGCGGCCAAGCTTCCAAGTGTGTGTGCGTGCATGTGTAATTACTTATTAGTGTGCTGCTATTACCCAGTATTCCTTTTGGCAATCCGTCCGTTGCCACGGGTTCTGTCAAATTCAGTTGTAAGGTCTGACGTACATTCATAACACGGACGGCCTTGTTGTTGATGTGTCGATCATTGTTTTTGAACAAGGATTGTGCCAAAGCTTTCTTGATCTATATCGGAGTCGACCCGGATTTTATTGTTCGATCAGGCACGATCAACAGCATCTTACCTCATACTGTATCTGACTGTACAGTTGATAGCACATCCGCCAGACATAACCAGGCCTCGTAGTTCCATGACCAGTGATGTCCGTCAACAGATTCGTCGTTGCGAGTCATCGCAACGCAACTGCTAAATCTGAGCCGACTCCGAATCGGCCTGCATGAAGAGGAGGGCTAAGCACCGTACTGCTGTCCAGTCTTTTTGGACACTGTTGTCAAAACTTCCTTCAATGCAGCTATAACCAGGATGCGCATAGTGTCAGGTTCTGGGTCTTATCGTTCAGTTGACCTAGTCCATCGTGGCGGAAGATACAGCAGAGTTTTCTTCTCCTAGTCAGATGGAGTATCCAAGTAATCAATGAGTCGTTTGTGACTGGTAGATGGCGACTGAAATGCTACCCAGCAAGTTCCACAATTGAATGTCTGACTTGTCAAATGCCCTAGTTTTATGTGGTGCGCTACTTTTGCGTGCAGTCGAGAACAAAGTGCCAGTGGTTGTGATCTAAGAGTAGTAGGTAGTAGTAGGAAAGATCCACAACTTCGAACACCGACCGGCCACCCGGCCGCCGTCCTGAAGTGTGGCCGAGAGCGCTGGATCTGATCCGTTACCGAAGAGAGCCCCGCTCGTGGTCAAGTTGCCGGCACACTTCGGGCAAAGAACAACCCCCTCTGTTATGATGCAACGAGGTATCGCTCGGACATGAGAACAAGGTTCGTAGTCAAGAAAGTAGAACGAGTGAGATGCGGAAATTCGCTCACACAAGGCTTGGTCAAGCAGATGGATGGCATTAAAATGCATAGCTCCTTGGCCAGAATGTGACGAGAACCGAGCATTGTCATGTTGACTCCATGTGGTAGGAATATTCGGACTGTGTACGCAGCAATCTGTCAAATCAAGTCTAACTGACTTGGCTAGCTCTAGCACCAGATGATTCGGCTTCAAACGTCGTACTGTAGTGTGATGGTGCTTGACTGGTTGGGGCAAAGGCATCAGGCAGAAGACTTTTCACCATGTCCGGTTAAATGGCTGAAAGGTAGGTAGATTCTAAGAACGGGGAGCTTCCTGTATCAAGGTCAATCTCAGAGAGAATCTACTTGCGCGGACGTTGCGTCCAGCGCTAGGTTGCTGCAATCCGCCAGAGATGGTGTGCGCGTTCATCATCGGGCAGGAGCCTGGAAGCTTCCACAAGCTGTGTTTGACATTATCGCTTGACGTCCAAGTTTTTCACGCAGTCCGGTGGTGTTTAGGCTGGTTTGCAAAGGGAGTAGAAGTGAGGACCGAGTATTGAAGTGCACAACGCTTGTACAACGGACGTCGTGGGAGTATCTTTTGTGGTTTCGAATTTCTGTTTGGTCCAGAGAACAAACGCAAAACGATACAAGGAAGCGTCTTGGTGGAAAATGACGGCGATTTGGGAGAGTCTTTTCCTGAAAACATTGAAGTCACGGTCATGCTTCAGTCGAGGGGTGAGTGGGAGTGCCGCATGATCATGTTTCTACTTTCAAGGGTCACGTGCCCCAATATCTGGGCACCTACCCTACGTACCAAGGCGTATTCCATCTATACTACTCCAATCTGAAATAATGCATCCATTATTAGCAGTACCTACTAAGATAAATATATCGAATTTCCATTTTAATTTCTGATCTTTAGCTTATTCTCATACTATGGCAAAAACCATGATCTTAGCTACGTACGGTGAAAAGAGACTATCTTGACGTTCTGTTTCACCAGGTAAGTTTGGACTCCTACATTTGAACTCCACGACAACTTAAAGCGCCACCAATGGAAAATTTGAAGAGACACAGACGTAGAAGACACAAAGATTCCGAGGAGCTGTAGATATTGACCTGGCAAAAACATGATGGAGTTATGTTGTATACACAAAAGCTGAGTTCAGATTTAGTAGCGACAAGTCGTGAGTCTGCGTTGCATGATGATAAACTTTTAGATGCCGTATGCCATCTTTGTTTCATCGTTTGACAATGAGATGGATTTGAAGTCATAGTATTTATATCTTGTCTAAATACACTGTAAATGATAATGGTGATAACGAGTGAGTGGACAGATGACTCCAGAACCAGACGATTGGCATCAGACTCTTTCTCAAATACATATCCAGTCTCGCCCGGCCTACTAAGATCTGGCACAGGCGCCGTGCATAAACTTCTAGATGTCGGAAACATAATGCCGAACGACATAGAGCTCGTTTGCATGCACTCTTCAATCGGCATCTCCATTACCAACCTCCTGATATTCATCAATGACATCTATGGTCAGGTACCCGCTGTTGCCCCAGAACTTTATTCAAGCATAATTGAATCTCTAGTCCAATAGAATCTCACCTATTCCACAGCATTTAAGCATGATGCTGTGATGTTTCGAAATGCTTCATGACGACAAGAGTTGACTTGACGCGTCTCTCACCTCGTACTCCTTATGTGTAGCTTTCATGGCTTGATGGAACTCATGTCAACCACGCGGCTTCCTCCGTGACGTCCATACTGATCAGAGATGCTCCCACCATGCACGATTCGTCTTTAGTATCCCATGATCGTCGAGGCAATCTCATAGCTGTTCTGTAAGCTCCCATCAAGTATAAAGAGACCATATTTCCCCTGGTGAACTTGGTATTCTACTATCATCCTGACACCAATCATTCACTTAGAGATCAACACCAGTCAAGAGACTTATTCACTCGTTACCAAGATGAAGACCATTCAGACTCTTCCCGTGGCCATGCTGCTCTCAGGTGTCATTGCTGGAGAGTTCCCATCTATGCCAGGCATGGGTATGAAGGGTGAGGAAATGTCTGCCCCAACCAAGCCGCCTGCTACTACTGGAGGTAGCATGGGAGGCAATTCCAACAACTGCCCTCCGGCTGTGAGTCGAAATCATTGTTTCACTTGAGTCCATTCAGACCTAACCTGCCTTAGGTACCCGTCACCGTTACGGAGCCAGTTTACATTACCGTAACGGGTGAGTAAACCATTTCTACCAGACATGTCTTGTATGAGACCGGCTGAACCATGTTGTTAACACCTGTATAGAATGTCCAATGGCCCCGGAGGCTCCTCCGCCTCCAGCAGTGCCTGTACCTCCTCCTCAGGCCACCAGCCCTGTTCCTGAGGCGCCTGCTCCGCCTGCGCCTGAAGGGCCTCAACCACCATCTCCTCCTGGTGGAGAATCGGGCCCTCCTTCACCCGCTGAGGAATCTGGCCTTTCACCCCCCAAGGAAACAGGTCCCAGCACCAGCCCTGAGAAGCCCATTGTTCCTCCTCTCTCTGGGCCCTCCCAGACCCCAGTTGGCCCCCCTGCCATACCCGTTGCCGCTGGTACCAGGGAAACTTGGAGTTTGGGAGCTCTTGTATTGGCAGGAGTTTTTGCTCTGGCACTCTAGTTACCTACCTGTTTCCCGAGGATGCTGCTGTGCCCCTAGGTGTTTTTACTTCCCTGGATAAAGATGCTTAGAACAAGTCTCTTACATCACGCCACATATGGGGACTGCTGGTTGACAGCAACTATGGGTCAAACATCAATGAAGGAACTTCCACTATGTTTCTTGTACTCAACTAGGTAGAACATTGGCATGTACCGTTGGGTATCCTTTAATTGAAACACTGGTTCTGAATTTAAGCTTGCTCTAGTGACGGGATTATTAGATGGCCAGTGATGAGAAATTACTTTATTTCTTTTGGTCTAAATCATTGGGTATAAACTACTCTGTACTGCATACATATTCTCTCGTATGTTGAAAAACACCTTTCATCAAGTGTCGTTGGCATTAGGATTGGGCGTTTACTTGTCTTTGCTGATACTCCTAGCTCAGCGGGTCAAGCATCCCAGTTGCCTCCATGCGCGATCGAACCTCTCGCACAAGAGCCTTTGCTTCTTCCACTTCAACACCGTCTTGGCACAACTCTCCCGCAAGACGAGAGGCTGTCATGTAATCTCCGGTTCGCATCGAAAACTTGGCAAGCCACATACGCGCTTTGCTTGTGGCTGCTGTAACTCCTGTTCCCTCATTGTTTGAATTCTCGTCGTTCTCGGCGCCATTTTCAGAGCCAGCTGGCGAGTCGTTGTGAATAGCAATCGACTCCGCCGGATCAGCTTCAGCGCCACTAGCACCACCGCCATCTTCTTGAGCCACACACAATTCCATGTATGACCTGGCCTCCTCTTCTTCATCCAGATTATCGTACATGACTGCAATCTGTAGGAGGATATCAGGATCCATATGACCCGTGGCGCTACGGCTGCCAAGCAGATCTCCGCTGCCAAAGCTACTGCCCACATCATAATATGCATCAGCGAGCAGTGCTCGTTTTAGCGCCTTGATGCCGTCACGCTGTCGGCCCATCTTCTGCAGACACGAGCCTACGGCCATCCACATTTTGCCATCCCACGGCCGAAGACCAGCGGCCTTTTTGTAGTACCATAATGAGTACGTATGCATCTCCAACATCTCGTATGTTTGACCCAGGCCGTACCAGGCCCGATAGTCCCGACGGTTCACGTCAACTGCCCGGCGGTACGACTCGATTGCTGCATGAGTATTTTTGAGTTCGACGTATTCATGACCCATCAAGGTCCATGCTGAGAGACATGACCGATCAAGTGTCAGAGCACGTCGGAAATACTGAACGGCTTTCTCATGCATCGAGAGTAAAGAGTAATAATTCCCAATCACGACACAAGACTCAGGTCTAAACTTGTCGACACTGGAGCAAAGGTGTCCGAGGAATGCTAGCTTTGGCCGAAGATTGAGGACGTAAAGGATATTGGAGTAATGGTCTAGCGAATCCAACCTATGGGGATGGAGCGCCAGCAGTCGAGTAAAATGCTGTTCAGCAGCCATCAAGTCCTTGGCGTGATAAGCTAGCAATGCGTTGCATGTGAGGAGGAAAGAGGATGTAGGGAATATTGAGAGAAGCTGCTCTAGAGAGTTGGCGAGACCAGGACCCTGCTGGTAGAGTTCAAGAGAAGTGTGCAAGTGAAACATGTAAGAGACAATGTTTTGGGGACAATGCCTGGATATTCGATTCAACTGAGTGGGCGTCAGTAACCCAAAGCGCGTTAGACAGTTACATGTATGACTTACATCCTCAACTCGAGATATTAACGACGTCATTTCTAACCAGCAACCCCAGTTCATGGTGTACTTGTGCACGCTTCGGATAAAGTATTCCAATGCCTTATCATCGTTCTTTTCCTTGGCGAGCACCATTCCATATCTGCCAAAGGTGATTAGTTGAGTAATTATAGAAACAATAATTTCAGTACTCACAAATATTCAAGCCACCCCTGACTGCCCAAGACTTCATCGTCTTCTGTCGTTCTCTCTTCGAACCAAGTTGCCAGAAAGTGGCCTATCACAAGTAACTGTTTGTTCGCCACTGTTCCGAGGTCCTGAGGGCCCATAACCATCTCAGAATCTTCATTTCTGCGCTTTTCCCCTGACATGAATTTGGCGTAGAGTGCTAGGAACAAACTCTTTTGGCTGAGCTTGGGAAGGGGTACTCCCGATGCCTCAGGCGCTTTGCTCTTGCCCTTGCCAGCTGCAGAAGACGCGGAAGCATGGTCCACTCGAGAGGCAAGGACGCTGGAAAGAAGTGAGTCTGGGAGAAAAACTGCAGCGCATCGATCGTATTCTCGGCAGTCGAATAGAGATTTGGCTAAAAGGTACTTGCTCAGCTCTCTAGCCTCGAGTATTGCTTCTTCAGGGTCGTTATTGGCGGTGAATATGGGAGAGACGTGACTGGGATCTGCAGGATTGATGTTTTCCTCATCATCATCGGTTTCGGGAAGCGCATTTAGTAGTTCGGCGGCCCTGGTTCTGTCAGTCTATGCGCTAGTGGGAGCTATTGATGGGAAGGTTGTACCATTTTGAAGATTGATACAGGCATCTTTCCGAACATTTGACCACAGCGTCTTGTAGTGCAGCGCGCAACTGTGAAATTTCGTGGGCGCTGAGAGCCATGGTTTGTTGTTTTGAAGTGTTGGTGGGGTAGCTTTGAAATGGAATAAATGTCCCCAAAGGAATGCGCAGACGCGCTGTATTTTGAACGCTAGATCAGTAAAGATCTAGAGCTCGAAATGAGTTGATAGGTACTCGAGACACAAGAATTGGGGGTTGTTGAGGGTCGTGGGGTGAGGATTGAAGGTGTCATGAGCATGACCGCTTAGCGTTTGACTTTCATCATGTTAACAGCTTAGATAGGCGCGCATCACAGGTCCGTGCCTCTTATATCAAACACTGTATTACAGCACTGTATGTAGTACGGGAACGAATATTAATGTGAACCAAAGCCGTTGAACATGTTATTCGTCATTGGTAGTACAATAATTTCAAAAGTTTGCTAATAAAAAAGAAGAAAGTGTCTCGTGATATAAAAAGACTTTGTTGATACTGATCTCTCTGACCAATATTGCAGCCATCCACTTCCATTCACTTACACTCATTTCCAACATTAGATGTTGTGTCACAACGGCTCTAGTAGGAACTCAAATTGGCCAATACTCCGAAAGTTGGTGAGACAAAGGATAAACTATCAGTTTTCTATATGGATACAAAGTTTTATTCGCATCAGCTCAGAGCTGACAATGGTCTTATTATGGTGTAGCTTGTTCAAGAAGCAAGGATAGCAAATTGTAGAATAAAGTCGAGTCTGATCACATTAATCATGCCTTGCCTCCTAGCACGATAAACATTTTCTAATATTCTTTACTATTTGGTGTTGAATTGCTAAAGATTCTATGTTTGGATACAGGCTTCGCTTTTCAGCTACCAAATCGACAAGCAACATATCTAGAGTCATAACCAACTTTCGAGAACCAATCTACCAGTGTTGAGGAGAACAACATAATGTACCCCAACAGAGCTGTCAGGATATTCCCCTGTTTGATGTGTTGGACACCGGAAGTCAAGTGCCCCAACTACGTGTTCCTCAAGCGAAGTATCTGTGTTGATTGCGAGGTAAAGCAACCCCATTCATATCCAATCCTTCCGGCACGCCGCGACCAAGTTTCACAATCTAAAATCTTAATCAGAAAATGCGTAGGCAGTACGGCGAGAATGAGCAGATTGCCTCACAAGTCCACGAGACCCTTGTGCGATACCTTCTCGATAAGTATTCCGAGAAGGAGGGTATCACCTACGAAAGGATTAACGCGTACATCACAAGCGCCAAAGAAGTCAACGTGGACAACGTTCTGATTGTGGCGCTGGACTATATTTTTCGTAACTTTAGCGAACTGTATCATACGGTATGCGATGCCGTTGACATGGCAAGGGATAAGGGTCCTGTACGATGGACGGCAGATAATTTGGCCGAGAGACTTGAGAGGGTGAAGAAGGAGCAAGAATGGGAACAAAAGGGGGACGCATGAATGAACGATGAAGCCTTTTGGGGCGATAGGTAAGAGTTAGTCTTTGGGTGGGCGATCTAGAACTTGCTGTTATGGATTCAGAACCGTTTTCTTTTAGAGCTGGGGTTTGGCGCAAACGTTCGAGCTGTCAACTTTATTTTATATCTCACCGAGTCACGGCATGCCCATACCATCCATCTTCTCTGAGTAGACTTTGCCCAATAGCCCGTGCCAATGGTGCCACAGGAACTGAATCAGTCACCGGGGAGCTTTCTGGATAGACTCTTGCCACAGCTGGCAACCGTTTATTTCAAGGCAGTGTAAGCTCTTCTAGAACTGAGCTGTGCCTTGTACACTCTTGTCTTCATCAACCTTTGCAGATCCGGTACAGAATACTCTCTGGCCAATGGAATGGGACGAGTGGCCCAGTCAAACAGCATGTACCACAGCGTTCGAATGGCTGTGAATATCAGCGATGTCTCACAGAACGAACGTCAGTTACAACATTGTACAATCCTCTGCAGCACGTGCGAACCGAATCATCGCGGTATCAAGGTCCGTCACGGTCGGCGAGAGAGAAATGGTATAAGAGCGAGTGCACAAGACATGCCATGGAAAAGCAAGCCCAACCTTTGGCCAAGCATGTCTCAAGAAAGCGATAACCTCGTAAGCGATATATCGATTCCAAACCTCCTTGAAGAAGTAGAAAAAGAACAAAGTCCACAGAAGATTATGCGTTGGCCCTGTAATCACCACTGGGGTAGCAGGAAGTGTAACGAATATGTCCACTCCTTGGGAGCAAAGTGCCTGGACTGCACGGTATGTACATGCGCGTGCATGTTCCTGTGAGTAGCCGTCATTGATGAGACGTTATTGACAAGACTCGCCAATCCAGGATCGCAAAGACATGGACAGTACGCCAACGCATACTCGATTTGCGCATATGTACGATGTGGAGCAATTTGTTGAAGGGTTTCGCAATGCAGGACTCAATGCAGCGTGCGTCGTTGAGATGATGAAGGACGGTGCATCGGAAAAGTCCTTACGTGAAGCATTATGCGTGGTTCAGGAGAACGATGCCGGATGGTATGATAGGATTAAGTGTGTCGTCCCACAGGGGATTAGTCGGTACAAAGCAGAAGAAGGTAAAGGCGAGGAACTGGTGTATGTACAAAGCAGGTAGACATGGAGTCTGGAGCTAGAAGCCCGTGGGTTGCAGAAATCCTGATACAGCTTCCGAGACAAAATAATTTAAATAGTATTTACTTTATACTGTCTTAGGCCCTCCAATAGAAAAGAGCCTCGTGATAAAGAAACATTTTTATTTATTTAAATGCTGCTGGGTAGGCCTAGGAAGATATGGAGAACCCTTTAGGTTGCATTCTCACCGTTGAATAAATCCTCAGCTGCCGCTAAGTTCCCCAAATCTCACCGCCTAATTAGGTCCCCTGGTCCCTTAAACTTTGCCATGTTAGTCCTCACCGAGCAAATCAAGAGTGGACGTCGGAATACCCACCCGCGAGCATTCAGTCTACCTGGGAGGGGCTCCCGACCTGCCCCTCTTTCCTTATTCTTTTCGCGAATTGGGGCAGGAGGGGCCCTTCAGGGTAAAAGAAAAGTTGGCCGCTGGAAGCATAAGAGACGAAATTAGTAGGTCAGTTAATGCTAGTTAGACTATGACTTTAGATCATTTATTTTTATACCCTAAAGCCTGAAGGTTAACTTTTCTGCTACCCACTAGGGGCCATCCATCCACTGACCAGTTGCTACCTAGGTAGGTATGTACCTACCTCTGATCAACTCCATCCGACTCTAATTTCCTTCTTCTTTCCTGCTCATATAAAGAGGTCTTTTCAACTACTCTTGTTTCTGACTTGACTACTACTCATACAAACCACCAACAATGGCTCAACAAACTACTCTCGAGGAGTTCAACTCCGTTTACCCCAAGCTTGAGGAGGCTCTCCTTGATCAGGCTCGTTCTTACAAGCTCCCCCAGGAGCAGCTCGACTGGTACAAGAGAGTAAGTACCGGATATGAAGCTATTCCCAGCTCCCTGAAAGCTAGCTAACATGCCACTTCAAAGTCTCTTGAGGCCAACCCTCTCGGCGGAAAATGCAACCGTGGCATGTCCGTCCCCGATTCCGTCTCCCTCCTCCTCGAGAAGCCCCTTTCTGAGGAGCAGTACTTCCAGGCCGCCACTCTCGGCTGGATGACAGAGCTCCTCCAGGCTTTCTTCCTCGTTTCCGACGATATCATGGACTCCAGCATCACCCGTCGTGGCCAGCCCTGCTGGTACCGTCAGGAGGGTGTTGGCATGATTGCCATTAACGACGCCTTTATGCTCGAGTCAGCCATCTACACTCTTCTCAAGAAGTACTTCCGCACCCACCCTGCCTACGTCGACCTCATCGAGCTTTTCCACGAGACCACCTTCCAGACCGAGCTCGGACAGCTGTGTGACTTGCTCACCGCCCCTGAGGACCGCGTCAACCTTGACAACTTCTCCCTCGAGAAGTACAGCTTCATCGTCATCTACAAGACCGCTTACTACTCTTTCTACCTCCCCGTTGCGCTCGCCCTCCACCAGCTCAACCTCGCTACCCCAAGTAACCTTAAGCAAGCTGAGGATATCCTTATCCCTCTCGGAGAGTACTTCCAGATCCAGGACGACTACCTCGATAACTTTGGCAAGCCCGAGCACATTGGTAAGATTGGTACCGATATCAAGGACAACAAATGTTCTTGGCTCGTGAACCAGGCTCTCGCCGTTGCCACCCCTGAGCAGCACAAGATCCTTGAGGAGAACTACGGCCGCAAGGACGATGAAAAGGAGAAGGTCATCAAGAAACTCTACGACGACTTGAAGCTTGAGCAGCTCTACCTCGACTACGAGGAGAAGGTCGTTGGCCAGATTCGCGAGCGCATTGCCAACATTGACGAGAGTGGTGGCCTCAAGAAGACTGTGTTTGAGGCCTTCCTCGCCAAGATCTACAAGCGCAGCAAGTAAGCTGGATTTTAAATGTAATAAAGAGGACATGAGATAGACGGTTGAAGTGCAAAAGTTACTTGTCTAGCGAAATCGCCTCACATCCATATACACTATGTACCGTATAGACCCTATACCTCTAATGAAATGAATCAATGCAAAACAACTTTTCAATGATTTCAATTCCCACAAAATAAAGCATGAACCTAATAAAAGGATGGTGCCAGCCCATCTTGTGCACAGTATCGTGTCAGGTCATGAGCTCCATATGAAGATTTTGATGTCTGAAAAAAAAAACTCCCAAAATAAAAATGAGACAGGTATAAGTTCAGGCGTAATCTGATCTTGAATGATAAACCCAATATCAAGTCATTTATCCAAATTTTCCAAATCTGCACCTCCAAGGTTCTTAGTCTAGTCGGCTTTTTCAACATAGGAACCGCAAACCCATGGCGACATAAATCCTTTGACTTTAAAACCAGAGGCATAACTGCGTAAATCATAACGACATCCAGCGCGTCAACTATAAATAGTAAGATTTCACCATCAACTTATATTCTTGATGGCTGACCAACTGTCCCAGCGCGGTCGATCAACGGCCCCCGCGGACGAGGATCACGGCCACGGGACTGGTCGATCGGCGCCGTCATCTCTCGGCGTAAAGAGCGGATTGGCACAGGGGGGACAGGAGGAGCATGGCTTGGTGGCGGCTGTATTCCTGCAGTGGACCGGCTCCGAGGGCGGCTGCCCATACTCATGGTAGAGGATGATGAAGGAATACGAGGCTGGTTGATAAGACCACCAGAAGTGCTGCGGGTGTTGAACATATTATTGTTTTGACCACCTGTGGCAAGGCTAATCAGAGGGCCACCCGTCGGGGCCTTGATACCATGACCCTTATTCTTTTCACGCCAACGAGGTGGTTCTGGGAAACTGCTGGTCAGGTTTACCAACGGCTGTGGGATGTCGGGAACCTTTTCAGCCATTGGTCGTCGATTCGTATCCCGAAGGGATTTACTGCGGTGGCTTGGCCGAGCAGATTGGTCTGTACCTACAGGAAACCACGACTTCGAGTCTGTCGAGGTTTCCTTAGGGGCTGTAGGTGAGAGCACGCCACCGTTCAACAAAGAGGGTCCCTCTGTGAAAGCTGCGTTCGTCGAAATGTAACTATTGTCGACTGGCGTCTTCTCATGAACCTTGCGCTTCTGCTCGTAACCCTGGCCCAGCAGCGACGCCCCCTTCGTGAAAGCGGAGTTCGTAGTGGTGGGACTGACCACAGGTGTTCGTTCTGCTATTTTGCGTTTCTCCTCATAGCCTTGACCCAATAGTCCAGTTGACGAAAACTGTTTTTCATCAACTGGTGGTGACCTGTGCTTGTTATGTACCGATTTGGATTTGGACAACGCATTTGATTGTTTGCAAGTGGCTTTGCGAACGAGCCCAGTCTTGAACTCAGGGTCGGAGTCAGGCTCATTTTTGTTCTGGTCCAGATCCTTACCAAACTCCTCTAGAGGCTTGTCAAATCGGTCCATATCGAGGAGTGGCTGGAAAGCGCCTATTGTGTATGGAGTCTCATCGACAGAGACTTGGGTGCTATGTCCTTTGGCAGCCGTACTCTTGGATCTGGACATGGCCTTTGGAGTTGTGCTGTTGCCGAAGCCCATAGAAATTTGAGATGCCTTGTCCTTTTTGTCTTTCTTTTCAAAGTCGACTTGCTTGTTGACCAAGTACCAACTTCGCCAGCGTTGCACAAGCTCCAAGAAGCGCCTGGCAAGTTGTCCATCCTCGGTACAGAAGAAGTGGACAAAGTTTTCGCCATTGGGAAACACGAAGGTCTTCTGCTGGCTTTTTACGGCATAACAGAAACGTCGCGGTGCTTTTAAATGACGTCTGGCCTCGCTTTCCCTTGGTGTGTAAATATCAAAATCTGACAGATGACACAGAACAGTACTATCCTTGTCTGAAGCCTTTGAGTCAGGCTTCTTTGAAGCATACATCTGACCGGATTCTAGCAGAGTGATCCATCGTTTGTTCCATTTTCCCGGTCTTGATGAATGGTACATTTGCAAAGTGAAGCCAGGAGGAGGCGTTGGAGACCGCGGTACCGATTTGATGTCAAGATCGGGATCATCGCTTTGCGAAATATCATTGGTAACAACCAGGAGTGAGTTCTGCTGGTCACGATCCCATGAATTCATGACATCGCGGATGCGCTCGTAACGGCGAAGACGTCGCTCGAGACCCAGCTCGACATAGCATTCGATCAGAATGCTGGCCTTGGGGTCAATATCATGACTTGTCAAGTTGGCAGTCGAATAGATAATATCTACAGGAGAAGTGTCGACATTGACGGGTAAATTGATCACTGAAGAGAGGCATCGTACACAAACACGCTGAAGAACCACTATGTCAGTTACCTGTAGCACAATCTTAAAAGCAGTGTGCGAAACTCACCCTTTCACCTCCATTGATGGCAGAAGCTGGTGCATCAGTGCCCGGCACTATGCCTTTGCCTCCTTGCGCTATAAAGCTCATTTTTTCTGGTGAAGAAGATTCCTCAGGACTGTTGGGACAGCTGAAATCCAAAGAAGAGATGGTCGGTGCCCCAGGACTTGGCGTGCCGGGCTGGCTTGCTACAGCATTCGACCGCCGGGTGAGGTAGAGGAAAGGAAGCTTGTCAAGGACAAATAATCGTGGAAATCTTGGAGAAGGGGTTGGAGGTGGTGCGTATAGGCGCGCAGGGTCACGCTTCTTCTGCTCAGCGACGATGCGATCGTTCTCAGCCTCAAGACGGGCAACTACCTTAGCCACACGTTCGGCTTCTTGTTCTTGTCGCTCAAGTTCTTCTCGTTCAAGTTTTGCAGCGTTCTCAGCAGCTTCAGTATTTATGCGTAAAGCAAGGAGATTGCGATGTTTGAACCGTGCAATGTCACTGGCGGACGGTACTGTACGGAGTATAGGCGACTCTGGCGCTGGGAGGTCGAAAATAGAGGTTGATGGACGGTGTTTGAAAGAGTCAAGGCCTCGGGGACGACTGCGACTGCGACTAGGGCTTCGGCTAGCACTACGATCACGACTAGTTGAGTGCGCAAGATTGTGTATGTAGTCGTGGTTTAGAGTTGGCGATCGCAGAGGTAGAGGTTTGGAAGCTAAGGATGAAAGCGATGGTAGTGGGATGTTTGTGGTTTTTGGCAATAGGACATATGACGGACTGGCCAGGGGTGTACTGGGGCCAGACGGGACAGCGGGCGACGGCGCGGTTTGAGAGTCTGGCGCTAAATTTAAATTACTTGATGCGCGAGCAAAGCTTTGTCCATATGGTGACACCAACACCGACGGAGCTGGCGACTGGACGACTGAAGGCCCAGATGACAAGGAATCTTGGCGGTGTCTTGTACTTTTCTTGTCGGTGTCAACTGCTCCCACCGCAATTCGTGGAGAGAGACTGCCAATCACCCCAGCCAAGCTCTCCGCCAGACCCTTGAAAAACTCTGCCCCACGAGTGCCGACTGAAACAGTGGTCGGAGGCGGTGATGTTGGGAGTGGCGGCGAGATGATACGCCGCCGTTCTCCTCTCAATGTGAGTAAAGAGGTGACACTTTTGGATCGACGCCGGATGACTTTTGTAGATAACGTTGGCGAATCTAGTCGTGGGTAACAGTCTCCATCAGCCAGATGGGACCCTTCCGGTGGTGAGCTAGTATATACTTCGAGAGTTCTTTGAGATACAGAAGAAATGCTTTTCTCATGCAAGGTTCGATATTTGGATAAGTCTGGTATTGGCGGTTTCTCATTGTCAATTGAATACAACAAGTAATCGTGAAATTGCACCGGGACGCCCGCAACCGCCACTGACGATGCCATATCAAAAGCGCCGCTAAAGAAAGTGTTCCTGCAGTGGTGGATGGACCCTTAAATAGCGCTGATGCAGCCCTATCGGAGTAGCGACGGCCCTGAAACGCTCCAATATTTTCGGTTCGATCCGCCGTTGTATTTCGAAGATTGGTGAACAAGTCGTCAATCAGAAGGGATCGTCAACAGGGTTGCCTTCTGGAAGGTTGAGACGAAGTTTCGTGAGATATAGAGGTTCACACCGGGTGAATTGTTTCGATCTCTGACAAGAAAATCATTACTTCGTATTGATGAAGTCACTCAGAAGGAGAAATCCCAACTTGCAATTTTTTAAAGATTCTGGAGGCAGTCGACGAGAAAGAGAACAACAGAAGGCTCAGGGGGACTCCTACTCTACTAAAGGACATACCGCTACGGAAATAATATAGAGCTCCTGAATATTTTCTCCCTCGATAGAACCGGCTCCTTTTACTTAGAATCAAGTAATGTAATACGATTCGACGTAATAGTAGAGATGGTATGCGGACCTTGCAATAATAAGAGCTCTGGTATGAAGCCAGATACGTACCTTGGATACGGAGGGCCGAGTTCCAAAGTCATCCCTTGTTAAGGTGGTTGAGCGGCAAGCGCCCATTCCATTACCAACAGCGATGCGATTCATGATTGACGAGTTTATTCCCCATATTCTGATAATGCCTAAAGCGCGATCGACGATCACACCTGCTTTCTTCGCCCACTGAGTTTATGAAACCCGGCGAGGCTTTCTTAGCGACCGTTGCTCGAGAACAGAAACGTGCCCATTTCAGAGTATTTATTCGAATCCAATACAGTGTGGCGTTACAAGAGTCTATCTTAAAGGAATCCAGACCATAACCTCTAACAGCATAGAGCGTTTATGGGTCAGGCATTGATTGCTTTAATACGCTGAAAACCAAATCATCACTCTTGGCACCTATTCGACACTCCAGTGCGATTGAGGCGAAGCCCATGTGAAGGGTTTGAGGCTCCCTCTCTCTTTTGTCTTGGGATCTCACCATGGCACGGGCTACAATTTGAGACATACCCCCTTTTCCACCGCCTAGCACCACCCAGACCACTTGAAGAAACACTTCGTCTCGTCTGAACCTTGTATTCAGAACACATGTCTGACACATATTTGACCAATCTTCACTGGCGGAGAGAAATGTGTTCGCCCTTATTTTCGAAACGCGCGAACCTCGCGTCTCCACCAGCCTTTAAAGTCGCACGTTGAAACATCAATTCCCAAGTCTTTGAGCGCCTTTGTGCTCAGGTGGCAGTCGTAAGGTCGCTGCACACTGGCATTCGGGTCATTCCCCTCTGTGTTGGGTGTGATCCCTTCTGTCGACAGACCCATGATTTCGCCAAACAGAGCTACTATCTCATACTTGGTCATTCGATCTTCCGAAGAAAATTGGAGGATACCGGGAAGAGATGCCCGACTGTTGCTTGGGGTGTCAAGATACTTGACCGAAATGTCTGAAGAAAACTGTCAGCAAAGTCGTCCTGTTCCTGGCACTCTCAACAAGTTGTAACAGAGCCTGGACGACGCCATGGTTTGCCCGAGACGGGTTGGTTCAAAATATGGTTAGACATACCGTGACAAACTCGACCAATGTCTTCCGTGTTTGTGGGATAACGAATAGCCCAGTGGTCCATGTTGATTTGAGCACCCTGTGTTTGTGCCTTCCACAGAGCGTCCATCAAAACGTTGACCGCGCTCTCAGACGGTGTCTCGGCATTTCCATAGAGAACAGGAACTCGAAGCACAACACCCAAGCCTTCCTTACCAGCTTCCTTAAAGGTTTCTAAAACAGCACGTTCGCCATCGAGTTTAGTCTGGCCATAGAGGTTGGTAGGTCGGGGTTCAGCGTCAGCTTCGTATGGAGCATCTCCGGGTACGCCAGGGAACACATAGTCAGTAGAAATGTAAATGACAAAAATATCTCTTTCAGCGGCCAGTTTGGCAAGTGCCTTGCTAGCAGCGACATTGAGTGCTCTGGCTCCCTCGGGGTCTTTGTCGACCTTGTCTGGGAATCGCTGCGCAGCGCCTTTGAGAAGCACAATAGTCAGTACTTATATGGCCAAGAGCTATTCAACTACTTACAGTGGACTATGACATTGGGCCTGCGTAAGTTGGTTATAAAGGTTAGCCTGATGGCACGATACCGGGAGAGGAGTGCACGAACTTGGTATCATCTAGAAAATTTGCTACTTCATTCTCATTGCCCAAGTCGACTTTGAAAGTGCTGATTCCATCTGCACGGGAAAAGCCTGTTCCTTTGACCTCCCAATTTTTGATACCAAAAGCCGCAGATACCTCTCGACCCAAGAGTCCAGTGGCACCTGTAACAAGAACAGTACGATCAGACATTGTTGATAGTCTGTGATTTGGTAATGATACTCAAGTTCGAAATTTACCGGTCTGAGGTTTGGTTGAGCATAAGTTGAAGTAGCGTGATGAGAGTTGAGACGTCATCGCTTCTTGATAAGGTGGGGTCGTCATGAGGGGGGGCAGAAAGGACGTTGCACTTGTCATGAGAGCTCTGTACTCCTCACCTTGCAGCTGAAGAGGAGACAATCAAAACTTGGCTTCTAACAGAGCCTCTATACCACAGTAGTTATAAATGTTTAAGCTTTGTTTCATGGTACTATTGCATTGTCATGTCAATTCAACAGGGTTTATATCTCATTGTAAGTGGTGCGACTGATTGACATAGGCCTTTTTACATCCAGTCTTCCAATTTATCCAACGTGCCTACTCATCACAACTTATATCATCTTGCTTCCTCATATCAATATGTGTGTCGTTAACGACTTGACACTAACCTTTTCAAACCTTGATTTACCTGTCCCGACGAACTGTTGCACTCCCTGCCCAGATTTCTCATATGATCAGAGCTATAGGTTAGTGGCGCTATATCGGATATCATAAAACAGGGTGCCCTTGCCTAGTCAACTCATGATTTGCATGTGCCTGGGTGCAGATTTAGATCTAGCTTGGAGTTAATTGGAACTGATCTATCACATAACATAGATTGTTTGATATGCACACGGGTGGATGCGCGGTTGGAAGCTTAATAGCCGCCGCGTGCTTCGAACGGGCGCGATAGTCTTTGACACCAACAACCAGTTGAACAAGGCCCTACCCACGTTGGTACTATTGTCAATGATATTCCCGTTTCAGTAACAATCGGTATGCCCGACGGAATCTAAACACCCAGTTGGCCCAACATGCAGCCTCATGCCTGCTTATACTCGTGAGTGTGGCCTGAACAACAACCAAACTTTTGGCACTGATGGGCTGTGCATCGGAATGTGTCTGGTAGCTCTGGCTTGCAGACTAAAGAGTGCATCGTCTGACCTCCTATGACTTCATTAGTGGATTCGCGGAACCAAATCCAGTCTACGCGGCGGGCCGGTCCGGCCAAGATCCTCGAAGACTATGGGTACAAGACGGTGACTTGGGGTATACGTTGAACAGTCTCTTGAAAAGGCAAATATCAACCAGTCAGCCATTGGTCCAAGGGACCTAACGCCACTGTAAGGGTGTGAACTGGCAGCCCTGGAATGAGGCTCCGTGATTACCTCTACTCTCGATGCTCGTGACCGATCAGAGTCTCCAGCTTCGATACCCTATCAAAATTGACCACCATGGCAGACGAACCATCTGAAAACCGGATTCAATAACCTTATCGTTCACCGCCGATTGTAATTGAGCGTAGCGTATTTCAAAGTTCTAAAAAAGCTGAAGTCGAGGCTAGGTTGGCCTCAAAGCAACATAAGGGCTCAGTGCAGTATTCTCGATACAAGCGAGTACCCCTAAAGAGTGAACTATTGAACATTGCTCCGCGAGCTATATAGTCCAGCAACGACCAGGTTTATACTGTCGGTTCTGCTATAACTTGTGGCAGTATCAGTGGCCCTAGGTTTAAGGAGTGGATGAAGTCGGCACTTTATGTATCACTGCTGGTATAAATGTCGTTGCCGCCTGTAGAAGCCCAAGGACAAACAGACAGCCATCTGTATGATGCGTGCTCACCAAATCGGTCATCCATACCCGACTTGGGTCTGAAATTCCATTGTGGTCGAGGCAACAGGGGTCTTCAAACAAATGCATCGTGATGTGGCATTGATGAGACATACTGTTGGGCGACTCACACCACCATTTATACCACGATGCCACCTTCACTGTTTCCTATTTTTCCCACGCCCCATAAGCCCCCAGTAATCGCTACCATCTCAAGAAGGGGTGGAGTATCTCAAAGGTGCCAGAGCACGATGGCCTAAGAGCTTTATGTGTGGCGGCCATATCAGGAAATCGAAATGAAGGGATTCGCCGTTCGATATAGATGAATTTTAGAGCTCGAGTTTAACATCTGTCGACGGAGCGGACTCTTAAAAGCAACAAATAACCAAGCGATTGGTTCGGGTCGGTTAACATGTGATCGAGTTTGGAATGAGGTGGGGACTTTAATTATCCTTGGGATAATCGCAAATTCATACACAAATCGCTCGCTCGTTATGCTCCTGAATCCATCACTCCAAGCATTCCGTTCTCGCTTGGGAATTTATAAGTCTTTTGTACTCGAGTTGTGTGCAATGATGTCTGGGAGAACCCGCTGTTAGTATCTGTCTCTCTCGATGCCCATGAGTTTCTTACTTCACTGATCTTAGCGCCAATTTGTGTTCTGTATCCTCAAGAGGTCGCTGCTTGCAAATACCAGGCCTCAAAGCGAACGGCAACGTTGATTGATATTGCCACCCAAAGAGCTGCTGGAACTTATCTCTTTATATCAAGTCTCAACAAACGGAAGGAACTCATCTCTCATAAACTTGGCGACGTTCGCGCAGTATCAGGACGAGCGATTGGCCGACAACACATATACGAATACTTGTGTTAAGGAATCATCGTACCTCAGAAATGTTCTGGATGCCGGTGGGGGCGTACTGAGGGTAGGAAACGTAGCGAAAAGGGGGATGACCCGTCTGAATGTCATCTCCATACATTTCTGGTTTCTTCAGCCTCGAGAAACGTCGCGATACGTATCGCACGCAGCTTCGGTATCTGGTACCAATGGAGCATTCCCTACACCAGCATCATTGCTGTCGACATACAAGTTCGCTAGCAAGTGCTCGATGAAACCTCGTGTACCTATGTTCAGTAAAGGCCGGCGATGGGGCGTGCTGGACATATAGAGCACATCCCCAGCATCATCACGCACCTGGACATGCTGACCTAGGATACAGACACCAATATCTAGTATTTGCTGTGGAGCAGACTCGGGCTCGAGAATACACCTTGAACTGCGATCAAATCCGATAGGAGTCAGACTTGATGGGTTGAGAAGCTCAATTTGTCAGACCGAACCACAACGCCCTGAGAATTAGCATGGTCTCATCTGGTTCTAAGGTGCCGTGGTGGTTCGCCCGATGCCTCGTTCCCCAATGATTGGCTTATCGCGTCCTCATATGATACAAGGCCATATCGATAAGAGGTCGCGTACAAAAAGCAGGCATACCGAGTAAGTCAGCGAGGCATGGCGAAACAGGAAACAATGGATGATGGGTACCAATGTCCAAGCCTATAGCTGTTCAAGCTGTTTGAGAAGAAGAACGAAGCATGGCTAGCTGACCAAGGTCGTACGATGCGCTTCGGATCACAACCGCGGTTATGCTCAACCACATGGTTAATGAGTCGAGACTGCAATCAAAACGAGGCTGGGAGGATTCTGTCACTTCAACACCACCTCAAACGCGTCGTTAAATTTCCAGCTTTGTTTTGACGGTCTGATGTCCGCATCCGTTAATGGAGCAACTGACCCCTTGGTTACCCACCCCAGTAACTTGACTGCTTGTGTGCCCAGGATTCTTTTGCCTTCTATCTAAAATTGCGGTTAGCCTAGGACTTTCATTGTGAATGTTACCTTGTTGGCAATTTGCTTACTCGTGGATGGGCAGAGATAGGTCACATACACGTTATTCTTAGTCGAACATTGCAGTATGTGACAGATACCTAGGTAGGCATGTAGAGGAAGTTGTGGATTGGAAGATTCGGAATATGTAAATGAATATGGATATATCTAATATACTTGTTCAAAGTTGTTCGCTTGGTATCAAGTGGAGAGAGTGATAGCAAACCAGGTAGGGAGCTACCTTCCATGAGGTACTTGGAGGCTATTGCCTTTAAACATAACAACCCATCGGATGTCTCAGATACTACAAGTAACTTTTCGAGGTAAGAACTAAAAAGATACACAGGGGGCGTGTCTGTCAACCTTGTCCATGTAGAAGCCGCATACGTCGTTTTGCTAGTGACTTGTGTCGCGCCTGCAAATTTCTTCCCCTGTCATCCGTCACCTTCTGCCTCTGTCAACTATCTGGTCCTTCTTGCTATCATCATTCTCAGATATTGCACTGCAATCGAACATTAGATTTGGATACGGAATAAGTCGTGCGTTTTGCATGAATACCTATATCCCTTCACTCGTATCACCCTCTACCCTCTAAGTTCAACGATAAACAACTGTCACGACATCTTAGCGACTGCAAAGTATATAATCCAGACATACCCAACTAGTGAGTAAGAACAAAAAATTGACATATATTCATTTAGAAACGCATGCCGTCTTCGATTCCTTGTTGCTGCATTGGGAAACCCGCCAATCTCCAGTAACGATATCCAAAACAAATCGACATTATTACGCCAAACGAAAGTCCTTTCATTATATTCAACACTTCCTAATACATTCACCAACTTGTCAATCTTTCAACCTCATGACTGCCGCCATTACGCTCGCATACGCTAGGTAAACCAAGAGTTGCTTGGTGAACCCCCGAACGAACCATTGAATGAGAAACCCGCCTACCAACACAAACGATAGGTATGTTACAATTGTACCCATCGGTGTCATTGTGCTAAGTGTCAATATAGCAACTGGTGCTGACACGAGGATGCAAACAAAACAGTTGAAAAGCCCAACGATTGCGAACCTAGCATATCTTTCCGAGACGAGTGTGATCGTGATACCACCTTCGTTCGATGCGAAGTTCATGTCCCTCTACCGATGTGTCAACAACTCGTCTCGGTCATAGTGCTTAAGGATCAGGAAGAAACTTACCATGATACGGAGAGATAAGGGATGGTGAATCAGGTAGCGGATCCACTGATCCGGCTTGTCTGTCTTGTAAAGAGAGGCCCAGTCTTCGTTCTTTGCTCTGAGGTGAATTCCTTTTTCTTCCCCCCATTTCTGTCTCGCAAGAAATAGCGAGTTATTTAAGAAAACCCCACTTGGCTCATCAAGCTCCATGATCTTGCTGAATTGGTATCCGAACTGATCTTTAATATGTGTTAGTAAGGTACCTACCCGAAGAAGGAATAAAATTGCTTACAAAAGCGACTGAGCCTTACCATGAACCTCTCATGATATTCCTCGAGGTCCTTGTCATCCGACTCTATCTTTTTTCTATAAACGGCTGCATCTCTTTCCAGGTAGTTTGCTTCCAAATCCACGCACAAACTACCATTTTCAACATGTCGACGAAAGAGGATATGTGTTGGGTCCTTGTCCTTCCAGGCGGCAAGCTCCAATAATTTACCCCTGCCTTGCTTCAATATCAGCAGCCAACTACAGACTCCGATTGGTGGGGGCCATACCATATTCAGCAGTCTCCTGGAATCCGGGATCTTTGATAAAAGCGATTAGGACACTAAATCCTATTTCAATGATTTAGAAACAAACCTGGTCTGACTTCTCCATTATCTGTCTGCTCAACTGTACTTGCTGCTTGACTTTCCAAGCTGCTTGAAGCGTTTGTCATCCGAGACATCGAACTTAGGGTATCGACAGGGGACATGATCAAAGAGTACCTTGAGGTTACTTGCTAACATAGCCAGACAGTAGGACATTCAAGGTCGGGGTCACAAGTGTCCTTATTTATCTTCCATCGATTTCCAACGTCAGAACGTCATCTTGCACTTCCATTTATTATTGTACAGGAGGGCAACATATGAGACCGAGACACCAGAACATACTATTCGACGATACACAGCCTCCCAAGCCAACTGGTCGCACAAAATGATGGGGATGGCAAGCATTCTACAAGGTAATATTGAGACTATGTCATGCTCAGAACGACATACAACACACTTTGCAAAGCTCAACCAATTGTATCTCGATGCCTTGCATCTTGTAGGGGTGATGAAGAAGAACTCAGCCATGGAGGAAGTAGCTGCCTTGTACCTCCAAAGTCCAGGGGCGTTTATCATTCTCATTTGTCATTTAAAATGCACTCGTCGAGAAAGAGCCGCGTTAATTCTACCATTGAGGTTTCAGCTCACTGCTACCACGCTTACAAGGATTACAACGACATACCAACATAACAAGAGATTTCTCTCAAGACTGAAAAGCATAAGCGAATAATAGGACTGCATAGTTCCATCACTACAAAGGCATATAAAAACATTGTTTTCGACAAAGATGAAGAGTTACCAGGTATTCAGAATTGACAAAGCCTGATCATCTTGGGCTTGTGCTATTTAGTCTACTGTTTTAACCTATGATCGAAGAGCTATAGAGACCAGAAGAGTTTTGAGATCCTCCCGCACATGCCGACATCCTTCAGAAATTCCGCAAGTACTTGTCTCTCCAAATATGATCCATTGAAGAACAAGAGATATCTATTCTAGCATGATTAGCTTTCTTCCTGAGACGAGTTTGCCATTTGTCTATGAATGAATTGAGAGAAGTCTTGGCTTTGGAGGTCTCACGTTTTATATAGCGAAAAATCTAGATTTGAGTCCAGGTTTGGCCACTGGAACGAGTTCCTTCTTGGTCTTCGCTTTTGCCCCCGTCGGACGAGGTGGTGGTTGTGGGTGCGGTATAACTATCTCTCGCCGACTTGAATGGAATTGGTGATCCATGGTGAAATTTCTGTGTCAAGACGAGTAGAGTAGTATAGAAATGAGGTGATGGTTTGATGGAAGAAAGACTGAAAGCAGGCCACTCCGACCATTTTATAGTTAAGCCTGAATCGTGCTCACAGATGAAACGTTTTAGTCTGGTCGAGCATGGCAAGGCGGGCAAGCGTTGTTTCCTCTTAGAATTTGAATTGTGTAGCTGTAAGATAAGAGAGAACAGAGCGGGATCTCGTGTGAAATAGAGTCGGCCCTTGAGAAAGAGGGCGGCTCCAGCGAAGACCCTTCACCGAGACTGTTCAGAGGAGAAGATTCTTCCCTGTAAGTTTTCAGAAAGGGCTACCAGCACGGTATCTAGTCTGAGAAGGTCATTAATGATATCTGATCAACAACCTGGTATAAAGGGCTAGAACATGAGTCCATAGGTCGTTAATGATGTCGGTGTAGGCGGGGACGCAAACGGGGAAAGTGTTATGACAGGGGACAAGTTTCACCAAGAAGATTCCTCGCCGACTGGACAGGATTGGGAAACTTTACGAACGCCACCAATCAACCCCTGTGCTGATGAAGAAACGTCCATGCCAAAACCTGACGTCTAGCAGGGTGAGGTTCTGTATTGTAACTCGAGAATAGAGAGACTTGACTGCTAAAGAAAGTCACTCATGTCAAGTCTATATGTTCTTATACAGAATGAAGAGGTGGAACGTCCCTCAGATTATTGCGAGTTTGGCGGCATCTTCTCCGAGTGGTTGCAGCGAACCGTTCCTAGAGGGAAACAACACTCTTCGATGTTGCATAATACAATACACGTCGTAGCCTACTTCCGGCGTGAACATGTGTGGTGAATTTAGTTAATTGACATGGGGCCCCCTGATATCACATATATCTAGTTAGTTATGCACTGCTATCCTTTTTCTTTCTTCTGGTGTGAGTAAGTGCCCATGTACCAACTAGTCCTGCACGTTATTCCCTGAGTGATAGGATCCATCGTGAACTTTGTGATGACTCCTAGATTGTCACTACAGGTTTTGTAAGTAAGCTCAAACATGCCATAGCGGAAAGGAGATGCGCTCCAGCAGCGCAATGCTGGCCCTTTGGCATTATAGAACTTATCTCCCGAGAGAATAGGAGACGGAACTGATTGAAACACTTTTGTGCCACTTTATTCCGATTTCCTCTTGATATTCGAGTCCAGCTTTTCTAATCAACTCCGAGGTTGGGGAAGGCTGCGTAGGAGAATGGAACTGTCCTCGTTTCTAGGCAGAGCTCTGGGGTCTATCAATGAGACAAGAACCTTGAGATCAACAGAGAGAACTAAACATCGACATCGCTATACCGTTTGTGGAGACCAATAACCTTGGCACAGTTCTCTGTCCGTGACCGATGCCGACATGATGACTGTGATGAGCCGCATTCCCGCTCTTCTCTCTTTCCTCCAAACCGTCAAGCGGTACCCGCACACTCTCATCGCTTCCCATAGTAACCAGGCGATAGCCATACCGGGGTACATGACACTCTGAGATTCCACAACAGCTTCATTGAGCTGGGCGAGACATTGGGTCAGCAGATAACGGGCATCAGTCGAGGAATATGTGAGCGGCTCCATTATGTCGCCCGCCATAAAGTTTGCTGGCTTCGCATCACCAGAAAAGCATGTGTTTATATAAACACAGTACGGATTAAAACTCGTTGGGTTTCAGCCGCTTACTCGTCCCAACGACTCCAATTGTTCTTTATCGTTCTAGGCAATTACCTACAGGGTATGTAGTAGCATCTCTTTCTTTTCTTTTTTTGAAATAAGAAAACATGAGATATCGCCAAGTAATACTGTGGCTGGCAGCTAGGCTATAATGCTGTTACATAGTTTATATACATATCTGTACGGTGTTACCACGGGGTAGATAGATACTTAGTTATGGAAGTCTATCATTGCTATTTATACTAGCCTAAGCGTTTCGATAAAATTATCAATGCTTCGCCTACTTGTTCCATTGCCCAAAATTCTAGACACTGTCCACGTTATTTTAGTGTTGTAATGAGTGCTAATGTAGTAATTATTATTTCTTTTCACAGTGAAAGACTGGCCGGGCCGGACCATAAAAACTAGAAGCCACGCCCAGGAGCGCCAGGCTTACCGTAGGGGTGAAGTATACAGGCCCCGACTATGAAGCTAGCCGATAGTGTTTGGTTGTGCCCTGGTTCTTGTATCGAATCGTTGGACACATGCGAGTTGATCCTACGATCCGACCCTGCGATATGACAAACTCAAATCCTCTCGTCTGGCCAGTCGTGTCGGTTTTCTTGCTGCTCCTCTTCTTCGGCTTCACGCCATTCTTCAGGGGTCGTGTGGAAAATAGTGGCGACAGCTGTGAAAGTGGCCCAAATTTCGCCGCAAACAGCCAAGTGCAGCACTTGACTACCAAGAAAGTTGATGGCGAACACAAGACCTGACTCTCCTAATAGATTGATCCCGCAGATATCATGAGTTGGAAGGCCAAAACGTCGACGGAAAGTGCCTGCTACCAAGCGCAGTGCTGTTGCCTCCCACGGCGCAATTGCTAGCCTCAGAACTGCATCGGCGAAAACATGCGAAGCGATGAGAGGAGGGAGCTGCGTAAGCATAGTATCGCAATAAGTGGTTGTAGGTATGACCGCTCCTCTTGCGTCAACACTTGGCCTCAGTTCTGCACTCCAGAGCCCAGGAGGTGCTTCACTTGTTTCAGCTGTAGCCTCAACATCAAAACTAATCAGAGTGGCGCTGACCGCCTCGTTGTCCTCTTCATCACTGGCGTAGTCGTCTCCTCTAGCGGAGAAAGTGCTCGGCCGTCGAACAGCTTCCACGGGACCAGTATCGCTAGGCATTTGGCCGTCTATGGGCCTGATAGGAGACACATCTTCAACGGTGCTACGATTGCGTCGATGTTCTGGCCGTTCACGGGGCCTGTCGGCTGGGGTCCAAGTACTGGTCATCCCTGGAGGTGGGCCAGTATTTGGTAGCCGCCTGTATATTCTTGCTAATATTTGTGGCCACCAGTCGCGAGTCAATCTTTGCGTGATGACCCAAACGAGGAAAGGCGTTGACGATACGAAAAGGCCCCCTGCCCATTGAAGTATTGACTGGAAAGAAAACCCAGAAAGTGGCGGAGGAGCTGGGATGGGCGAGTCATGGGTAAAGGGAATGAAGAAAAAAAGACTTGGAAGCCAACTGGTACTCGAAGCCAGACCGAGCCGTTGCAATGCAACGAAGAGCTCCAGATGGACTCGCACGTACGACCATATTTCATGGACTCTTGGGAATTTGTGAGCCAATGTGATATTCAATGACGGATTTTGACTTACAGTTGACGACTAAACAGTCTATCTGGCCGATCCCGCCATAATAAGGCCACTTGCCGATCAGCATAATTACTTAAAAGGTTGAGTGATGCACCAGGTAAGATGTATCTGGTGATGGAAAAGGGATTCTGAGATCTCGCATACAGGTCCCAGAATGGAATGTGGGAATAGCGTTTGTAAATCTGCCAGAATCAGTAAGGGAAGCCACAACCGCTCAGGATCAATAGACAACATACGAGTATACGTTGACGAAACCCATCCAAGCCAAACGCCCCAGCAGCATCCACGCAGCGAAAGGCGGAAAAGGTAAGATTACGGCCGACATCGTCCTCGTACATTGCGTGCCTCTTATCAGATTCGGCTTCTGGACTTGAGGTCGGATTTTCTTGCTCAGCAACCCCAATAACTAACATGACTTCGTTGTGTGATCTTATAATGTCTCTATTAATCTTTTTCGTCTCAGGGTTTATAGGACGACCCCGGTGATCGTACTGTTGGGTAGAACCATCACCATTCTGTTGGTCGTCATGATCGTCATCCCATTCTACAACATCATCATATGGTGACCGCCCCTAGCAATGTCAGTTTATTTTGTTCCCAGGATACTTCATTTCAACCCGAGGAATCGCTCACAAGAGCTTGGGCGGTCAAAGGGCCTTGCATTCCCATAATGACGGTGCGCAACGACTCATGAACGGGACACGTCCATTTGGCGTGGAGTGTAGAGTTGTACAAATGTTGTTCGTGTTAGAAGCGTCAGTCCAACCTATAATAAAATCAATGATTTCGGAATGAAGCAAATGAGTGCCCTTCTTCACGCGATGACCTGAGTCTCAAAGAGATAAAGTTAAAGAAAGCTCCAGGTACGAAGTCATGATACAAAGCGCATGAGTGGCAATGTGGCTGGTGGTGTGGCGCACAAGGTCGAGCTAATGCACAATCCGGCCAATCAAAAACATCGTCGCCACGAACGCCAAAAAAAAAATCTAGGAAAGTTCAAGTCGCGGACCCATGATAGTTTCTTTGCATCGAATATTTGTCCAACCTACAACATAGCAACACAATGGCAAATAAGCAGCCGTTAAAGACGACGTTTGAAGCAGAGCACGTCATTCGTCCTATATTCACAGGAGGATCGGTCTCTATCAATGATGACGCCCGAATTCTAGCGACAGTTCTCGGCGAGGATGTAGTTCTCACTGATCCCACCAACGGCAAGCACTTGGCTCAAATTGAGGGTGTAAGAGATATCTTCAGACCGCTTTCTAGACCAAAACTGACATTTCATAGGACGGGGAGCTCATTTCTACATTAACTTGTTAGTTTCTTGAAACCGTGCAAAATTACGATTAGACTAACATGTTCAGTGACACCCTCTGCATCGCATCTCATTATTTGCTCCCGTTCCTTGTCTATGAGAATCTTTTCTTTGAAGAGATCTGAAGACGATGGAACCATCGAAGCTACTCCTACTAGAACAGTCAAAGCTCACTCAACACCAGTTAATGCGCTGACAGTTGACCGAACCAGCACGTTGCTGGCCACTGGAGGAACTGATGGCGCCGTCAAAGTCTGGGATATTGTCGGTGGTTATGTTACCCATACTTTCCGCGGATCTTCAGTTCTAGTGTCATCACTTCGATTCTTTGAGGCTGTGTCCCGTTCGAATGAGACTCAATCACGAAAGGGCAAGAAATCCAAGCGCCAAGAGGAGTCCGACGAAGAAGAAGAGAACTCGACCACTATCAACTTCCGTCTTGCATGCGGTCAACAAAATGGTAAGGTCCGCGTATGGGACTTGCACAAGCGCAACTGTGTAGCCAACTTGGATTCCCACGTCTCAGATGTGCAAGGACTCGACTACTCTCCCGAACAACATGCTCTAGTCACCGCTGGTAGAGACAAGACCATTACATGGTGGGATGCCAAGTCCTGGAAGATTCGCAAAGTTGTGCCTTGTCTGGAGTTGGTGGAAGCGGCTGGCTTCATTGACGGTGGAAACTTGACCTACTCTGCTGGTGCCAACGGTTCTCTTCGCATCTGGGACACAGATACTGGTAGGGAAGTTACTCCCCAGCAACCTGCAAAGAGCGAAGAGGAGGGTATTGTGTCTGCAATTTATCGCCCTGGACTACCTTTTATCCTCCTCGTTCAGGTCGATCACACTCTCGCGCTCTACAAGCTACCCCAAAAAGCAGATGCCGCCACCTTGTCAGCACCCGAACCCTTCCGAAGAATATCTGGCACACATGACGATATCATTGATTTGGGTTACTTGCTTCCTGACCGTTCTATGGTCGCGTTGGCTACAAATTCCGAAGATGTCAGGATTGTGTCTGTTGTAGAGACACAGGATCAGAACGATGGAGTCAATGTGGATTCTGGGTCAAGCCCCTACTTCGGCCAAGATGTTGCTCTTCTGAGGGGTCATGACGAGATCGTTATTTCGTTAGATATTGACTGGTCAGGTCATTGGATAGCGACAGGTGCGAAGGACAACACTGCCAGACTTTGGCGTATTGACCCTGCAAACAACTCTTACACCTGTTGGGCCGTCTTTTCTGGTCATGCTGAATCTTTAGGCGCTGTTGCTCTGCCCAAGAGCGTTCCTCCTGAATCATCGGCAGCCAGAACTGATCCACTCAACCACCCTCCCACATTCCTTATCACAGGCTCGCAGGATCAGACCGTCAAGAAATGGGAAATCCCCCGTACAGCCCAGCAACAAGGCCACAAGAGCAGTTCTCGCGCTATCTTTACCCGAAAAGCGCATGAAAAGGACATTAATGCCATCAACGTCCACCATTCGAACCAGCTCTTCGCGTCTGCGTCACAAGATAAGACGGTCAAGATTTGGTCTGCAGAGGAAGGTGAAGTCCAGGGCATTCTGCGTGGACACAAGCGTGGTGTCTGGTCCGTGCAATTCTCACCTGCTCAGATGCCGGCTATTCAGGGCGAAGATGGGCCTGTTACTGGAAAGGGTGTCATTCTTACCGGTAGCGGTGACAAGACTATCAAGCTCTGGAACCTCGCCACCTATACTTGTATAAGGACTTTTGAGGGGCATTCTAACAGTATTTTGAAGGTTGCGTGGTTGAACATGCCTGCCAGCCAGGAACAGTCCAAGAAGCGAGTCCATTTTGCCAGTGCTGGTGGCGATGGTCTTGTAAAGGTTTGGGATGCAAACTCGGGAGAAACTGAATGCACTCTTGACAACCATGAGGACCGTGTTTGGGTTGTGGCTGTTCATCCTGAGAACAACACTATCGTGTCTGGTAGCGGCGACTCTACTGTCACTTTCTGGAAAGATACGTCGTCTGAGACTCAAGCTGCCGCGTCTCAAGCCGCACTTAAGGTGATTGAGCAGGAGCAGGAGCTTGAGAATCACATCCACGCCGGCTCATTCCGTGAGGCTATCACGCTCGCATTGCAGCTCAACCATCCTGGCAGACTGCTCAGCCTATTTAATTCAGTCATGACAACAGACAAGCCTGACAAGGGTAGTTTGAGTGGCTTGAGAGCTGTGGATGAGGTACTAGCCAGTCTGTCCGATGAGCAGATCTTCTTGCTTCTTCTGAGACTACGGGATTGGAACACAAACGCACGTACAGCTCCTGTGGCGCAGAAGATCCTGTGGACTTTGATCCGAAGTTATCCTGCTTCCAAGTTCTCAAACCTGTCAGTCAAGGGGGCCCAGGGGCAGAAGAGCTTGAAGGATGTGCTTCACGCTATTCGAGTGTACACCGAGAGGCACTACAAGCGAACAGAGGAGTTGGTTGATGAAAGTTATCTGGTGGAATATACCCTGCAGGAGATGGATGATCTCGCACCCATGCTGGAAGATGAGAATGTTCTACTACAAGACAGCAGTGAGGATGTTGTCATGGCTGGTTAAAAGCGCAAACACTACAATTACCAATGTCTTTTTTAATTGGTTGATTACTTATAATCATACTCGCATAGTCTTTGGAGTATACAGGTTTAGATAAAATGCTTGACTTTTGTTTTTGAATAGGCATATGCCAAGTGCATTGTGTTAGTGATCCCGGTAGATGTACAACAGACGTCTTGATATATGCTCAATAATTCAGGAAAGAAGAGAATGAGAGGAATACGAACCGAGGGAAGCCTCTTCACATGCATAGCGAGCCTGATTCAAAATTTTGGGTTGCTATACCGAATATGTATAATGTATTTATTCTATCCGCTCCAAATAGATGTTGTAAATTGACATGCAGGCTGCCATCAACCAAATGTGGGCCTGGACCTGAGCTTCAAGGCTCCACTCCACCCGTAACTGCATATAACCTACGACTTCAATCTTTCATCTGCGACGTCGAGTCAGCCGAGAACTGCGCAACAAGAGACAAAGAACGAAGTCTCGGACGCAATTTGAACATGTCCAAACGACAGGCTTCAGAGGCTCTTGAAGACATCGCCTCGCCAGCTTCCAAGAGGTCTCGATTGGACTTTGATACGCCTGAACCGGGTTCAGAAGAACTTATTAACGAGACGAATACAAACGGAAACGCGCAAGAAGTCGACGACGATGACGACTTTGACGATCAAGAAATAATGGCTGCGGCGCCCATAAGGCAGTTTGCACCTACAGAAGGTTACGACGACCTCTACCTCGACACCATCGATCGCAACGTGCTCGACTTTGACTTTGAGAAGCTCTGCTCCGTATCCCTCTCCAACATCAACGTCTACGCATGTCTAGTCTGCGGCAAGTACTTTCAAGGTCGCGGTCCCAAGTCGCACGCCTACTTTCACTCTCTCGACGAGGATCACCACGTTTACATCAACCTCGAATCTCAGCTCGTTTACGTCCTCCCTGAAGGTTACGAGGTCAAGAGCCGCGCGCTTGAAGACATCAAATATGTCTCGGATCCACGTTACACCAAGAAGGAGGTTATCGAGATGGATCGCACGCGACGTACGAGTCAGACGCTTGACGGGAAACAGTACATCCCTGGATTTGTTGGAATGAACAACATCAAGGAGAACGACTACTTCAACGTTGTTGTGCAGGCGCTGGCGCATGTGGCCCCATTACGCAACTTTCTTCTTCTCGATGATTTTTCGAGCAAGACGGAGCTCGTCAAGCGAGCCAGTATTCTGGTGCGCAAGATTTGGAACCCAAGGGCGTTCAAAGCTCATGTCTCGCCTCACGAACTTCTCCAGGAGATTTCCCTTCGCTCCAACAAGCGCTTCAACCTTACGTCACAATCAGATCCTGTCGAGTTCTTGTCGTGGTTTCTCAACAATCTCCATCTTGGTCTCGGTGGAAGCAAGACCAAACCCGGCAGCTCTATGATCCAGCGCACATTCCAGGGCAAGATGAAGATCGAGTCGCAAGCCATTACAGCTCGCGCTGATGCTACCGATAGACTGCGCTTTGAGGATGCAAATGTCAAGGTTGACATTGTGCGCTTTCTCCTCCTGACGCTTGACCTCCCTTCAACACCCCTTTTCCAGGACGAGCTTGAGAAGAACATTATTCCTCAAGTCCCGTTAACGACTATTCTCACAAAGTACGATGGTCAGCGTGCTCAAGAACACCACGCTCAACGCAAGCGCTACCGACTCATGCACCCCCTTCCCCCCTACCTCGCGTTCCACGTAAAGCGTTTCTCACAGAACAAGTTTGTCTCTGAACGCAACCCCACAATCGTAACCTTTGACGCGCGCAATCTTGACATGTCACCCTACGTGGAGCCGAACCCCAAGGAGTGGCCTCCAGGCGAACCTATATGGTATGATCTCGTTGCAAACGTGGTCCACGAGGCTGTGCGCACACGAGAAGATGTCGTTGATAGCGGCGAGGAGCGCAAAACATGGAAGGTGCAGCTGAAGAACAAGGCTACAGGAGAATGGGTTGTGTGCCAGGATCTGTATGTTGATAAGGTGCAGAGTGAACTCTTGTACCTCGGTGAAACCTACCTCCAGATTTGGGAACGGAGGAGAGAGCCTTGCAAGGGCAAGGGTAAGGCCTCATAACCTCGAATCATGATGGTATATTCGAGTCCGAAACGTAATAATAGAATGTTATACCCTCTCTGACACTTCGCTATCGGATTCTGTACAAGCAGTAGGCTTTCTTGCTCTTGGGAACCAAGGATTCTCGTGAATTTATCAACCGTTATGAGAAAATGATAGACCCCTTTCGAGTCCGACTGGCACCCACTTACTCTGTTGTCACCACATGCATAGCACACTGCAGGATCGTAGTTTATGAAAGAGGTGTCTCGTTCTTGGGCGAGAAACCTCGGCCCCCAAAGCTTACTCTGAATTGTAACTCTCGCTGAAATCCGCTATTTGGGCGAGCCCCTATTCATGCGCGGCTAGTAATACATTGCCAATACAAGATCATCCGCTTGATTCCGTTGTTCCCAACCATTGTCCTCATAACCTAGTCCAGTCATTCCAACCGCCACCCAAATCCTAGTAAACACGTTATCACAGTCCATCCAGAAGACTTCTCCAACTCCGCTAACTCAAGGGTGCTTATGCAACAAAGACAATAGACGAGCAATCCAATCAAGATCGAAATGTAAAATACAATACAGAGGCCGCACTAGTTTAAGGGAGGCGACGGCCAGACGAAATCTCTGTTACCTCGAAGGTAACGAGGGAGGGAGGGAGGGCGCGAGCGAGAGCGGGAACGAAGGCGGGCGCGAAGGCGGGAGCGACGGCGGCGATCCACCTTCCTCTATGATTGAGACGGCTCAGCTGCCTTTGAAGCTCCGCTAGCGTGACGCTTGTCGTGGTGATGGTGTTGGCCAGCTTTTTCACGGCGTTGTTCTTCAATGGCTGTCCGTTGCTGAATACTGGAGTCGTGGCTCTTAAATTCAACGCGAGTGTTAGGTGGGAAGTTCAGGACATGCTTCATCGTCTCGCTATTTTTGAGTTAGTTGTAGTCCTCGCAACGTGTCAACACATCAGGCAGACTTACCGAATTTTGATGACTCGGCCACCATCAGTTCGTGTCCAGATACTGAGAATGTCCTCGCCATTACGCACACTCAATACAGCGCCGCACACATCTTCACCCGCGTCGCCAAATTGGTCGCCGATGAGGCTGAGAAGAAGGTCTTCCCAGTATCGGTCGGACACGCCCTTCTTCATTCGCACCACCCATTTGCCGCCCTTCTTGTTGATATCATCCTCCCATATTGGGCGGATACCCTTCTTGAACAGATGAAAGTCCGAGACAACGGGAAGTACGGAGGGCCTCTTCAGGTAAGCATACATGTCCCAGAACTCCTCCACTGTTCGCACAGTAGCGATTTCATGTAGTGTTTTCTCGTACTCGATATAGCCGTGTGCCTTTGAGATCGGAGGTCGGTACCAGAAGGTCCACGAGTCTACCAGCGGATGTGAAGGAGGAGCTGTGGACGCCCCGATCTGGTTGTTCTCGGAAATCGCGACCATGCCAGGAGCTTTTCCAATAGCCTTGGACGAGTCCTTCTTGGGGACCGCTGAGGCCATGGCCGTCTCGAAAGGATTACCCGACGTCTTAGGGGTTTTAGCTGACCCAAACGAAGCGAATGCTCCAGAGCCTAGACCAAAAGCGCTGGAAGCGCCACTAGTAGGAGATACGAGACCTCCAGGTGTGGTGTTGAAAGGGTTCGGTTTCATCGATGATGGGGTTTCGTTGCCTTGACGCTTAGGGAAAGAGGAATTGCGACTGAAACTGTCACCACTGGACCCTTGGCCCGGTGTTGTGAGGGAAAGCTTGCCGGGGCTAAGAAATCATTATTAAATCTTGTTGATAACGGTGGGTGTATGTGACTTACTTTGTGCGGCGGGCCCAGAGGTTGCTGTTGTCCATTAAGTCTGAAGTAACAGTTACGTCTGCGAATCAAGGTAGGGCGGGGAAGGCTGGTTCAAGATGCCTTCGAACGGACGTGAAGACAGGTATCGGAGGGTGCGTGTACGATGTGAAGGGAGTTGCTGGAGCGGGTTTGGTAGATTTTGGTCTCGGTTCGTTAAGAAAAGCGGTCGAAGTTGGTGATGCTGGCTTTGTGGTGTTGCACGGTTTGGAGGTCGAATGAGGGGATGATCAGTATGTTCCCAGCAAAGGTTGGGTGTATAGAGAAAGCTGTTGTGTAAACAGTATACTTGGTGGCGAGATGGGGGTATCGGGGGTTCTTTGGGGGGTCAAGTTAGTATGGATGGAATGGCAATATCTGAGAATTTTGAAGAGTAGATGATGAAGTTGGGTGGGTTTTGGTCTGAGAAGTGTTGCGAGAGAGGAGATGGATCTAGTGATGGAAGAAATTCTAACTTAGCAGCCCACCTACCAGAAAATCCAGAAAAGACGAGTCGCGGTAGGTGTGGAAAGCAAAACTCAAAGTAGCGTTCGGGTAACTTTTCTGCTAGCTCGTACTATTGTCTACATCATGGATACCTGGTCTATGATACCTCGCTGATAAAAGCCCTGGAGGCAGGTACCTAGCACCCAACTCGCTGGAAAACCCCCCATTCCTGGTCTATGGAAGGCACGCGCCCGACCTTGACGGTATGTGACTGCGCTAATCCAACCCCAGCCTCTAGGTCAGTCCAGGGACCCATGAGAGAGTTGTCGCGACCGACCCTGCGTCAAAGGCTAATTGGAAAGTTCGGGTAGAAAAATGACAGTGACACAATTAGTACGCACCAGGGCAGCGTGCCCCCTTGTTGTGAGTGTAAGCTTCTAGAAGCAATTGGTACTTAGGCATGTCCCAAGCCTCATACACATCCAATTCTCATGAGATCGACAAAAAAACAATTAATCTTGAACATGTAGATAAAAGCCATACATCTATCTTCTTGATGTCGAATATGAAGGCCGATGGAAATTGGATAGAAACCGTGCAGTCCAGAACTAGAACTACTATACTAACCTAGATATAGATACATCATGCAAGTGATCAATTCCTATGATACACATCATCGTCACCAACGTCCACATCAAGCACACTATATAATATTACTCAGTCTGGTCATGATGGCTCGATCAACTAGGAATCTCTCTTTTGAACTTGACTGCAATGGTGATTGTTTCCTACACCAGGCGAGGAACCTACATGTCACTTATACTCAAATGGTAAAATTGCTTTTACAGCTCGTCGGCTCCGAAATATGAGACCAGTCAGCCAGCACCCGGTGAAACCCCTGCCTCATGAAGAAACGGATGATCATGACTACTGGATAAGTCTCTTTCCAATCAATTATGGCCGGCATGAATAACAACATGTAAGACACTTTATTCTTACTCCCTTATATCATGCCATAAACAACCATCCTTGTCGCAATTGACACTCTGCTATTTGAATTGGTCGCACTATCCCGTCTTTTACTCAGAAGCGCGTTTACGAAAAAAAGACTGCGCCACAGGCTGTTGTTTAAGTGTGAGCTCTAGATAACTACAGACTTTATACCAGATACCCTTGAGACAAAAGAAAGTTGAAATCTTTTTTCCTCACGTGGTGAGACAAAAGCTCGATTATTCATTCTACTTTGGTAACACTTCAAATTGGTACCTAGATAAGAAGCGACTTTCTTTTCCATTCATACCCAGCCAGTCTTGAGTTTATTGTTTGTTAGTACTTGGTACTCTTGGTGTGTCGTGTATCCATTGAACCAGCCACCGCCGCGCGGCCCCACTTAAAAGTTATCGCAACTTCTTATCTTCGAAAAAAAATTGGGCAGAGCTTCAACACCTGCACTGAAAAGTTAAGGGACCGACAATACATTCCACGCGCCACCTCCACCACTGTCGCAATGGGTGTCACACGAACAAAAACTGTCAAGAACAAGCACGCTGCTGCTCCCGGCGCTGCAAAGTCTTCCAAGCACTCCGCCGCCGACGGCTTCGCCAAGTCCAAGAAGCCAAAGGGCACCCCGCCGTCCAAGCAGGTCAAGGACAAGGGTCGCGAGGCGCTTCTTCAGAAGTTCAAGAACCCTAAGAAGAAGAAGTACACAGATGAGCAACTCGGAATCCCAGCTCTCAACACTGTCACTCCTGTTGGTGTGGTGAAGCCAAAGGGCAAGAAGAAGGGCAAGGTTTTCGCTGATGACCCGGTACGACTCACATTCCAGAGTGTACATGACCAATTCTAACATTGTAATTCTTTAGGAGAGTATGAGCACCATTATGGCTCTTGTTCAGGCCGAGAAGGATGGCCAAATCGAGTCCAAGATGATCAAGCAGCGAAAGATGGAGGAGATTCGCGAAGCGCGCAAGGTCGAGGCCGAGAAGAAGGAGGACGAGAGGAACGCAAAGCTCGAGGATACCAAGAACTCTCTCCGAAAATCAAGAAAGCGCAAGAGCTCCGGCGATGGAGACGACAACATTAAGGACTTCTCTTCAGCAGGTACCAAGGCGGCCAAGGCCAAGGGCAAGGGCAAGAAGCGAGTGTCGTTCGCCTAAACCCCCAATCGACGGAGAAGAGTCGGAAGTTTTTCGGAGTTGCTGCATTGTTTGGCGCATGGAGTTTGGTAGATGGGCTGCGGTTATGCCCTCTCTGGTATTCTCCAGAGAATCGGCGGTACAAAAGCACAACATAGTTCTTGAATTATGGCTGCTCCCACGGGTGCAGATCCTGTTAATCGGCAAAAACGATCGAAAATACCAGAATTTTAACCATGATCTATCTAACAAATCTATTCTTCTCTATCCAGTTTGCTTTTGTGTGCATATCCGTACTCTATAGTCTATCATAATCAACAAGTGAGGCAAGAAACAAAAAACTACCCTCTCAGTCCTCGGAAATCACCAGCTTGCGTCTCATGGGGCTGTATCCATGTCCAGCAGTAAAGTCACCGGCGTTAGGGTTTGCTTGGGGCTTGAGACTGTCGAGATCGGACTTGAAAGCCAGATGGTTCAAGAAGTTGGCAACCTGAGAATGTCAGCCTATGCTTCTCACACGAACTTGGTTCAAACTTACAGGCTTAGGGAACCAGCGGCTGCCTCCAGTTTCGAACCAACACAAATGTCCTCCGAGACTAGATGT